ACAGATTTGAACAAATACACACAAAAACATCAAAATTAGCACAGAAACCGTACTATATAACATTTTAGACACATTCTAGACAGTTTATCAGCTAAAAAAAGTTAATTTTGGGKTAAGTTACTCTTTAACCGGAGGTCCGTGTGTTTTAGCCCTCGGCTCGTACTGACCTATGAACAGCTGTCCTTCCCCCTGTGTGACCACGCCGCCCTGCTCGTCYCTCACTTCCAACACGGTGTCCATCAGAGGCTGTCCCAGAGGCACGGAGGACGGCGCGCTGCAGGACGAGCTCAGCTTTAATCTCTGCAGCACGCTTCAAATAACCAACAAACCTCTTCAAACRCTCACAGGGGGCCGCGGCGCAGCAGGGTCTCTGGGATCCTGAAGGCACTGGCCCAGCAGGACACCTCGGTGATGCCRTAGATGTTGTAGATGCAGGTTTTGTTCTCCTCGTGTCTCCAGCTGCTCAGCAGGGCAGGCGGAGGACAGACTTCTCCACCCAGAGCCAAGACCCGCAGGGAGGAGCTGGAGGACAGCACGTCCTGCGTCAGGACACGATGACTGAAACTCAGCAGCAGAGTGGGTGTGACCTGCGGAGACATGGACTGATCAAAGACCACCCACCAGGGGCGGAAAGWAAAAAATTGTCCCCACCAGCCACAGTGGCTGGTAGAAAAAGTTTTGTACCGGCCACTCAAACTTTTTACCAGCCACTTTTTTTTTTGTTTGTTTCTGTAACACAGTGGCATTTAGACAATTCAGGGTCCTCGGTGGTCTAATTTAATTATTTATGTCTACAATCAGATAACAACACTCAAATATATTAGTGTCTTACAGTATTCAAGCCAGCCTTTTTGACAAAATTAAAATGATGGACTTGTTTACGTCGCTACTTCTCTTACTAACTTGCTTTTTGCTGGTGTGTAGGTGGAATACCAATTATTTTAGGTTGGCTGGAAAAAAAAGTGTCTTAACCTTAATAATATAGGAGAAATTTTCAAGATAAAAAAAAAAATACTAAATGACCTGTGGTAAATTTATCTCCTTTATTTAATAAAATCAGCCTTTGCCTTTTATCACTTGTAGTTTTTGTTCTATAGGCTACTAGTGGAATACCAATTATTTTAGGTTGGCTGGAAAAAAAAGTGTCTTAACCTTAATAATATAGGAGAAATTTTCAAGATGAAAAAAAAAATACTAAATGACCTGTGGTAAATTTATCTCCTTCATTTAATAAAATCAGCCTTTGCCTTTTATCACTTGTAGTTTTTGTTCTATAGGCTACTAGTGTGAATATGGGTCATTTTTTTGTTCTGAGCTTTCAATAACAGATGGAAATCCCTCTGATGATCCATTGTCTCACAGTGGGATCATTTCTATTTTTACTTTTAAAAAAGTTTATGTCACAAGGTTCCTTTTGTTACTTAGTTTGCCTGGGTTTTGTTTTGTTCTGCATCAAAAAATAGCCTGCAGAGAAAAGTTAAGGGAAAAAAAAGGAACAGATTTTCTATTTATTTTTTTGGAGCTGTCAGCTGATCTTCAGACGTTTCCTAAGTCAGAGATTCTTAACCCATGGGCCGTGAGCGCCACCTTGAGGCCCTCAAAAGAACAACAGTTTTTAACTTTGGGCCACAGAGGGC